AATGTGTGTGTATCGGCGCCGCGGTTTTCAACGTACATAATACGTGATTAAGCGTCGACGATCGTTAAAGCGAGCTACTACCATAACCGACAAAGAGAAAAGATATACGTAAAGAGGCGAGGAAAGAGAGAAAAAGAGTATTATATATGAGGAGCGAGTTCTGATCTTTCGTCACTCATTATGTCATTATATTAACGTGACTCGCTTCTGCCTCGCGAGCTTCTCTCTCTCTCTCTCTGCGTTGACTCATTATCATCATCGCGCCTCTTCATCTTCATTACTATTATTATCTGCTCGTATTGTTATTAGCATTATATATCGATGCCCCAGTGTCGTTGTCGACGTTGTTATTGTTATTATTATTATCATCATCGCGAGCGATGATATATTACCGTACTCGCACACACACATATAGACATACAATCGAATCATATCTACATTAGCGAATAGATCGAACTGCTGCAGTCGTCGCGCCGAGTTATTTCTTTTCTTTTTTTCCGTCGTCGAGGCTTCTTTCTCATTTCTGCTTTTATATATACACATTGTATAATACGGAATTAAACTCGTTGGTGGTTCGTCGAGTGCGCGGTTCGGAATAATAAAGTAATACATTGCACTCGTCGTGGTATATACGATGTTAGTGGGTCGAGCGATCGACGAAAAATCGACGCCGCTGCGCGTAAGTAATGTTTAATTCCGATGACGAAATACATCGCCGAAAACGTGCGCGAATATATTTAGCGTGAGTGTGTGTTTTAGTAGTAGTAGGACTTTGGCGCTCATTTTATATACTATATCGAGGTGCACGCGGCGAGCAGCAGCAGCAGACATCTGCTCGGTATACGCTGCAGTGCAATATTGCGCGAAAAAGCAGGTCAGCGCGCTCGTGCACTCGCTACACTCGACAAATTGCATAACGCGCGTACTGCATATTCACGCACACACACACACACACACACACGCGTATAATATACCGCGGGCAAGTGTAGCGGCCTTTTGCCTCTCTATCTATCTGAATCTATAACTGTCTGCCTCTCTCTCTCTCTCGAAAATTGATACGCTGCGGCAAAAGTCGCGACGACGACGATGAGAAAATACACATCGACTCGGTGCCGAGATTTATGAAAAGGAAAAAAACAATCCTTTCCGGACTTGGAATAGAAGGCAACTAACTCTCAACGCGGTATACCCGGTTTTCGATTGAATAATCGTCGTCGGTAGTGTACATACCGATGACTCGCTGCTTACTCTGCGGCTATATAACGTACACACATGAGTAGGCGAACTTGCTCTCGCTCTCTCTCTCTCTCTCTCTCTCTCTCTTTCTTTTTATTTCGCTTTTTCCTAACTGGCTCATTTCAAAATAAGCTTTACGAGCTTGGAACATATTAATTCGCTTATTACGAGCATCTGAGAATTAGATAGAATAATTTCCCCGTCTTGAGCTACATTTTATGAATCGCGGCGTAAAAATTGCAACCGAGAAAAGTACAACGATCGATGTGACGGTTATTATTCCTAGCTCTCTTCGTTTCGATTCAATCCAAAAGTGGATAGACATAGACACACGTAAAGCGAAACAATTGCTACGAGGTGTACGGAATTATTATCGAAATGGAAGGGAGGAAAAAAGGAGCAGAAAAGAAAAAAAATCAATTAAAAGGTGTAAAGTATTAAAGCGTGCAGACTCACGCTATATGCGGCGTCATAAACACTCATAATATATAGGACTGGGCATGTCGCAGCTGTCATTTATCTATTCAATATCTATATCTATATCGCGGCTATATGTGTGTACGCGTCGCGCGCATATGTACACGAGCGAGAGTACATGACATATTGTTCGAAAGAGCGAGAAAAGTAAAGCGAAGCTATTACACGAAATGCCATCGCGCAGTGCAGCTTAAACGATTTTCTCTCGAGCTGCACATGCACTCAGGATGTGCATATACACAAGCTGCTGCTACCACTGCCGTTTTGTTTCTCTCTCTCTCTCTCTCTCTCCCACACGTATGGGTACAGTTAAGTTTTTTTTTCTGCGTAATATATTTCTGCGTGCAGCAACTGGCAAGACGTGTACTTGCTTCTCTCTCTCTCTCTCTCTCTATCTCTTTTCTTACTCTCCGCGTCTCTGCGCGCATATATAAATGCACGAAAGAAAGAGAAAGCTCGTGTGTGCGTGTGCATTGCCGCTACTAAAGAGCTCGCTCGCATGCCTGCGTGTATATAAGAGTATGCAGCGCGCAGAGACGTTTTTTTTTGCCTCTTTTAATTCTCGTTTTTTTTATTTTGGATTTCGTGTCTGTGCCAACACACACGCGCGCGCTCAGAATGCGCGTGTGTGCACACCGATGTACAAACAAGAGGCAAAGAGAGAGAGAGACATGCACGTACACATGGATAGAGGCTCGAAGCACACACACACACACAGACACTTCCGCGAGCGAGGCAGTATAAATACGGCGATGCGAGTCGGCAACGCAGAGTGTGGAAAGGGAAGAGAAGGGAAGAGAAGAAGGGAATGGAAGGGGGGGGGAGCATAACACACACGCACACAAACACACGGAGCGGAGCAAGGGACTTGAAGAGCGCAGACGCCATTGAATGTTGGTTTAATACAACGAGGCAGTGTAGGAAAAACCTTTTTTTGCACCCCCAAACTGCTGCTGCTGCTGCTGCCGCTGCTGTGTATATGACCGAGGTAAAGACACACGCTCACTCGTTTTAATTGCGAGAGCGAGCAGCAGCAGCAGCAGCGACAACACGGCAAAGTGCATGTCTAGTATATATAGCGAAGAGAGAGACGAGGGCCATAATAACAGCGTATACACATACATACATACACACATCCAATAACGCGACGGGCGCGCAAAGAGACGTGTCACACGGGGCACGCGCTTAATACTCGAATATGGCGAAATATTTTCAGCCGCCGCAGCAGCAAGTTCATTATAATCGGGCAAGAAAACACAAAGCGATAATAAAGGAAAAGTTTATTGCTGACTCGAGCACAGACGGACGGACGGGGCACACGAGTAACGAATACACAAATGAGCGTGCGATGCACAGACAGCGGTGCGGTAGTGCTCGAGTCGCGTATATACAGTAAATTGATATACACGTACGCGGGCACATACGTGTGCATTATATACACTTACTCAACAAGTGAATTATGCAATTGTGCACGAGTGCATGTGTGTGTGTGTGTGTGTATGTAAGTTGTCCGAAGCTCTCCGAGTTGTTGGCCGAATATGTATACCGCTGAGTAAAGCGCGAAAACTTTCTCGCGCGCTGCGCTGCTTACGTTCGCGGGATTTCGGATCGAGGCGTATGTTTATAATATGATAATATATAGTAATATCGCTGCGTGCGTGCATGAGCCTGGCTCGAACGTCTCTATCTGGATAAACATTGCTGAAATGCCAAACTCAACTCTGTATACTACGGTCATATACCGCGGCGAAACTCGGAGCGCAGATTTTAATGTTCCGCGCATTATACGTGGACTCCATAATACTATACAGCTTATGGACACGCGCAACTTTCGACGCGTTAGTATCGGCCATGCAGCAGCAGCGTAGCCGAATATCAGGAGAAAGAGAGCAAAAAAGAAACGAGAGAACCGGCCGGCCGGTCGTTCGCGTACAGTAACGCACACATATACATACATGCACACGCGGAAGCCGCTCGTTATACTGCGCACCATTACGTATACATATTCACGTGCACATTATAGATCCTATATAGAATATATATAATGCAGGTCGTAAATCAATCGCGCCGATCGATTCGTATACACACATGAACATTATAGCCGAGATTACGTGGGCCCAGCTATTATAAATACGCGCGGAAATAAAGAGCGCGCAGATATACTTATATACAGAACAATAACGTATATATGGATTGCGAGCTGCAGCGCGGGGAGTATAACATAGCATGTAATGGAAAGGATGTGCCGCTGGCCGCTCTGCGCGATCGATTGGCCCCCGACGCGCCGCTGCTCCGTGTGCTCTGGCTGCTCCTGGTCGCGCGCGAATATCTTCTCTCTCGCTGTCGGTCGGCTCGCTTCGCAGTGCAGCAGGCCAAAGTGTCTGTGTCTGTGTGTGCGTGCGTTTCATCGGAACCCCACCTTCTCGGACTTGGGCTCGCTGTAAAGTATATAGCAGCCCGTGCAGACGGCCCATTCGAGCGCATCCGAGTCAACTTCGCCCGCGCGCGCCGCGTCGCCCTTTCACTTATCGCTGCTGCTCGGCAAAAAAAATTTTTCTCTCTCTTTCCATGCCTTCCTTCTTTTTCTTGCACACTGCCCCTTCTTTCTCTCTCTCTCTCTCTCTCTCTCTCTCAATTGCTGCCGAAGCTCTTGCGGCGACGACTACGACGACGACGACGACAACAACAAGGTCGAAAGAGAGTTCCGCCATCGGATAGGTTTATTGTACATAGAGTAAGGACGATCGCCGCGGAATAAGATACAAGTAAAAAGGAGAGAAGAGGGAAAATGCACGAGAGGAGTCAGAAGTAGAGAGAGAGGCAGAGAAGAAGAGGAAGAAGAAGAAGAAGAAGAAGAAGAAGAAGAAGCAGCAAAGGTCAGCCGTGAACTTGAGGAGCGAGTACCGAGTTGTGCATTTATTCGCATGTATATAGGCACACGCACACATACTCACACACATGCACGAGAGGCGCGCGTTGCGAGTTCGATGTACTGGGGTTGGCTGTGTACTATACTATGCTCTCTCTCTCTCTTTCTGGCCCGCTCACAATTTGCAGTTTGCACTGTGTGCAGCACTGCTGCGCTGCACAGACTCGAACGAGCGCGCGCGCGCGTCTCTCGCTCTCTCTCGTACACCCACGCGCCGGCTCGTCGACGAGATGCGCGCGTGCATCTTACTCGCGCGCCACTGAGGTACTATATACATATAATGAGGTCTGTTTGGTATCGGTGTTGTGTGTACGATGAAATGCATTCGATTATATGCGCGGTAAGCAGAATTTCTCACCTCGACTTGTGATTTTCGACGACGACGACGACGACGACGATCCGTGGCCACGGATTTTATAAATCTGCCGTAGTAGAATCCATGCACAAACTGTTATGTATTATATGAGAAGAAGTCGCAGTATAGTTGGCCGTATCTCGAGCACTCGCGCACTTTCATATATATTTCATATATATATACAATGCGAAGCGACTATACACACTCACACGCACAAAGCACAGAGTAGCCAGCAGCAGCAGGCCAACTTCTGAATTCTATAAATTTCTCTCTGTGTATATATTATGCCGTAGACTCTGCAGTGGAACTGGCGGCGGCGGCGGCGGCGGCGATGGTGGCCTGCAGATGTGTGTACGTAATGTGCGTATATATATATATAGGCGCACGACAAACACTCTCACTTTCTCCGATATAGATATATGTTAATGTTATAGCGAGCGTCGAGTGTATTTTTTATTATGTATATACGGTGTACGGTACGGAGCAGCAGAGATACTACTGTGCCTCGGCGTTACTATACACGAGTCGCGAAATCCGCTGCCGAGAGAGACACACCCGTACGTGTTGTCTCGCTCTGAAAAGCAGCAGCTGCAGCTGCCTCGAGTTGTCGTCGAGCACTTGGCCGCTGGTATATATACAAACTCGCTTCGCACAGCTCTCGATATTATCCTCGCGATCGATTCCACCCGACCGATACGAATGTATTATTATGGAACGATTTAACGCGCGTATCCTCGCTCCGTGGCAATCCGGAGCTAGCGTATAAATCGACGCGTGTTTTTTTACAACCGCCGCGCGGATTATTTTAATTTGTATGTATGAAAATATTCGTCGTCTCGATTGTGCCTGGCTGAGGTGGTGATGCTCGCGTGGAGCCAAACGCGCTACGACTGCCGCGCCGCCTCAGCGCCAATTTCGCGGCCGCCCGATAAGGCCTCGACTACAAAAGTAGTATAGAGCGCGATCGAGATTTGACCAACTGCAGCGGGGGCAACTTCGCACGATGGAGTCCGAGTTCCGATGGCACTTGCGAACAGACCTGTTGCATGCGCGTCGGCTGGAGAGTCTGTTGTAGAGCCGATATACGCGACCGAGCTTCGATTTCGAAGCGAGTTTAGTTAGATGGTCCGTTCGCGAGTTTCGGGGAAGCTTGAATATTTAATCTTTCGAAGTTGCTGCCGCGCGGTGATTAGTCGAAAACGCGACGCAACTGCACGTGCTGCCGCTGCTGGTCTGCGTTACCGACCCGCGCAGTGCAGCCAACTTACAAATTATTGCCATAAGTAATAAGGTATGAGCCGTTTTTGGGACGATTTTCGAAAATCGACTTGAGATAGCAATTTTCATTAAGATTTTCATGCAACGAGAAGGTGCTTACAAATGATTTCTTTCGACTGCTCAGAGCGGAAATGAAAATAACTTTTGGTTCTAGACTTCAGCGCCCTCTATGAAAAGAAACTATTTTCTTCCATATTTTTCAAGGCTCTGAATCGTTTTCGTTAAAAAAAGGAGGTTCTTGCTTTAAAATGTATTATGCACGTGCGCATAATTTTGTAAAAAAAGTATCATTTTGGCCCATGTATATTTTACTCGGCTGATGAATTCCACGTGCTCTGAGACTTTCCAGTTTTCACTCACTAGAGGCAAAGTATGCTATTGCCAAATGAGTTGATGTATATTTAGAATTTTTGTCATTATTGCAAATGTATCAATAAGTTTTTAATTTGTCTGATCTATACAGTGCAATAAACCATATAAGCTTTTAGAAATATTTAGTATGAAAGGAATTAGTGACACCAGGAAAAGTAATTTGTATTATTCAGCAATTTTTATTATATAACATTGTCCACATTTATAGAAGGTTCTATTTGTAAATCTATCAGTCTTTTTCATGAGCCATTAATAATACATAATAAGATATATCATTACATGTTATTCATTATTCATAATAGAAATCATAGTTTTTCGGTATGCATCTATTGAACGACTCCATTTTGATTTTCGGAGACCTTTTTTAATCCTTCTGCGCTCGTCATTGCGAAGTACTCTATATTGTTCCGGCGTACAGAACATGCTTAGGAAAGGATGTGGCCTCTTGCCGTTAAAATATCCCAGATTATCGGCAAGGAGATGATCAGCATCGCAGTTATCGCATTGATAGATACATACGCCCTCCTCGTAGGCCATCTTTTTGACGATTTTGTGATTGAGCGTATCACACTTGTTGCACGTGAACGTCACTTCCATTTTTTCATTGAAACCACCGGTTGACTTGGTTTTCAATTCGTTCCCTTCTTCCGTGTTATCGGATACCGCGAGTTAAGTGGCTTGACTGATGATGACGCCTTTCTAGTCGTATTCAACGAGTTTCTCTCCATGGAGAGCACCAAAGGAGTTGCGAATGTTCGTAAACTCCTCACGTTTTCTTGCAACTATGGCAGGGCCGTTCGAAGACCTGCACTCAATAATCGTCTCACTATAAACATTTTGATTCTCGTTGAAGTAATTTTATTCTTTCGATCGAAGTAACTAAAAAGTAGGAATTACGGACTTGCTCTGCTTTGCTGAGAGAACAACCTCTACCAAACGTACTTTCAAACTACACTGAGGCCTGCTCGGCAGTTCGGACTTCGGAGTTCGGACTACACTTTGTAGTGTACAGCGTATGCGCATTGCGCTGTAAGCGTAGTTAAGAAATAAGGATGACGGCACTGCGTTCGCCACTTTCGTCAACTGAGTTCAGTAGTATTCAGTGTTCACGTTAGAAAGAGGCTATATTCTCAGCCAGAACAGAAGCCAGTCCGCTACTCTTACTCTTTAGTTACTTTGATCGAAAGAATTAAATTACTTCAACGGTAATCAAAATGTTTGCAGTGAGTCGATTATTGAGTGTAGGTCTTCGAACGGCCCTGCCACAGTTGCAAAAAAATGTGAAAAGTTTACAAAGTCTGGTAACTCCTTTGCTGTCCATCGAACCAACAGTGTTGAACACGTCACGGAAGGCGTCGAAATTCCTCACGCTCACCGTGAAACGACCGCAAGGCCAAAAAAATAAAAGAGACACAAAAGAGATCAACGCGGTACCCAACGATGTTGATCTGCATCTGACAGCTAATCTGACCATACTAGACAGGACGGAGATTGAAACAAAATTGAGTACTGAGCAGTTCCACGGCCGCGATCAATTAGATGTGACCTACACGTGCCCAAAATGTGATACAATCAATCAGCATACCGTAGGCAAATATGCCTATGAGAACACCCTCATCATTATTCGATGCACTGGCTGCGAAGATCATCAAGTCCTTGCCGATCATGACGGAACGTTTAAACCTGGAAAATGTGAAAGTGGGGCAGGTCAATTTTGGGTAGAGTGGATAATGCATGATAAGTATCCGCAGTACACTCCCAAAGAATTTAAAGATGTTTTTGACTAGGTACATCCTCAGAAGAAGACTGGTTAATACTTAATAAACAGAACTATATTTAAATCCCCATAGTTTTTAGAATTAGATGGGTGTAAATAGATTGTATGAATGAATGTCAGTTTTAATTATTGGTTTGAAGACATGTGCATACAACATGTAAATAAACGCAATTGTCTGTTGAGTCTTGTCAATTAATAGTTCTGAATTATAGCCCCACATTTAAAGGATAGCTCATTGTTATAGAACAAAGTTGAAATTGCCCATTAAATTTAAAAAGTGCTCTTGATGCACCAGATCTTCCTGTCATTGTTCTATTGCTGTTGTTGCATGGTGCTAATCAAAATATTGAAATATCCCACAAATCTGCTTTTAAAACATAATGTCGATGACAATTTAATGGATTTCAATAATAAGCAACTCCAAAAGATGAGTTCCAATAACTTATAGCATGATATTATTCATAAATATGAAATTTTATGTAATACTTATAAATATCTTTAATACAGTAAATTTCTCATGAAAAGAACTGATTGATTAATAAACAAAACTTTCAATAAAAATAATATTATAAAAATAACTGATTTTCATCAATTTTATGAACCTAGAATTTCCAAAGCTCTGAAAATAAATCTGGACACTTGATTTGTAGCTAAATATTAATAAACCTGCAGAGACATCCATAGATTTTTAAGAAATTGTGTAAATTTTAAGAAAAGTTCTCTTTCTAAGGTCAGAATACTGCTCATTAGTACAAAATGAAACTCAACATCTACCATTGAATGATCTTGTTTAGTATGTTGAGAAAATTGACAAAGCTATTTTGTAATGTTCTAAAGGCCCAGTTAAATTTATTGGATATATAGATTATGGGTATTAAATTATTAAATTATCAATTGATCAATATTCTATGGGGTCAAATATGAATATACCACAAATCTATGTATAGTTTGACTTTATGTATCAAAATTGTGATTGGTTATTATAAATAGAGCAAGTAATGGGGTGCAGTCTCTGTAAGCTGAAGTAGATAAGAGAAATCGACCACAAAAACTTGTCCAAGGGTAAGAAAAATCCTATCAAAAAATCGAATAACAATTTTTCTTTTTTAGATTCAAGGTTAAACATATTGAATTGAATTGAGTTAAATTTTTGATCATCATTTTAAATTGTTCATTATTGAAAGAAGTAATTACCATTTCATATCAGCTGCTTAGGAGGCTTACAATAAAGATTTTTAAAAAATCGCAGTAGTTTCGGACAATCAGATATTATTTCGCGAGAAAAGCGTATAAATGTTATGGTAACGTATAGGTACGTCAAATTATAATTACACATAAACAGCCGCGCATTGGCAGGGCAATTATTGCTTCGGCCTGCATCGTTGATGCGTCTCAGAAGTAGGCTATCGCCGATAGGCACACGGAGAGCCAAGCGAAGAATCGGCAAACGTATTAATGAATAATCGACGAGGACGGAATGATCAGTTGTGCGCGCGCGCGGCTACAAAGTGCATAATTACATACACAGTCGCTTGACAGTCGTCGCGTCACATCGTCGATTTTTGATGCTAAATACCCGGCTGCGGGAAGGAGAGTCGAGGGTAATGTCGTCGAACGCGAAGAAGGGGCGGCGGAGCGGCGCGACTTTCGACGATTACACCTTCCTCAATCGATGGGGCCTCACCTTCCTCGGCATCTGGCGCTTGAACGACGGGCGGCGCCCGCGGACTGCGCTGCGTCAGCTGCACGTGGCCGCCCTGTTCGCGGCGATGACGCTGCTCCTGATACCCCAGTGGCTCGATCTCTACGTGCTGCGCGGCAACATCGACGCCAACGCCGAGACCTTCGTGCTCAACGTCTTCACCTTGACGGCAGTGCTCAAGCTCTACTGCTTCCACAGGGCCGGCGACACTTTTGAGGTATACGAGCGACGCAATTCGACCTCCCTGAGCTATAGTAATAAAAAAAAATAATAATAATGGCTTTAAATATAAAATGGAAGTTTTATATTTAATTCATTTTGTTTAAATTTTATTATAATTCATTAACAGCAGATTGTTTCGATAATCGTGATAAATAAAATAGACAATAAACTTACCCCAATCACATTCACAAACGTTCATTTTCGTTTCTCCATTTAGTTTATCAAGCCTCCATTCTTATAAAATAGATTATAATATTTAATTTTTCAATATTGCTTGGACTTATCCAAGTGATTATTTTTTTGTGACTCGAAGTGAGTTTCACGATGCACCGAGACGTTCTCTCTTTCTCTGGAGTCTGAGATTTTGGTGCCGCGATAAAATGTCCGTTGTCGGCACGATTAGCGAATAACGGGGAATTATTTGTGCCCAACGCTCAATGATAATGCGGGTGTACCAACCTTACAATACTTTTGTCGTTCGACGACATCAGTATTTCATTTTATACGAGAGAGCATAAATATAAAATTAATTTGAAAGTGTCAAACTTAATATTCATTTTAAGCTTTCAAAATATTTACTTCATTTTTGATTGCCCACAATTCATATCATTTAATATGGAAAATGGTTGTTGGTCTTCGATTGGTAGCCCTGCAATATTGATAAGACAGATCGGCGGCCCGTTTTTAAATCGATACGAAAAGATCGTTCCTTGGCTGATTTATTCTAATTTATTTAACCCACAATGTCTGATTGTTCGTTACAACTCACCGGCTAAATAGTAAAGTTTGTCACATAGTCACATTTTGTGACGTAATTTCAAAATTATGGTTTCAGGATATTAACTCGGTACTTCTTTTGCGCTTCGCACCCACATGTTCGTGTTTCGATTCAATTTTACAGTTTGTGCTGTGCGTAAATTGGTACCAATTCAAATGGCATTAACGAAAGTAGGAATTAGCATGTGGGATCAGTACTAAGGCAAACTCAAGGAAAGTTGTGATAATGCGAAAAGATATAGAAAACGCAGCCGCAAAAAAATGGTTATTCAATTGTCAACGAAGTTTGAGTTTTAGGATGCCATCGAACAGCTCCTCATCCTCTGCGACAACCAGAATCATGCCGTTAAAAGGGCTTGAACCAATTTTCGCATCATCTATTTATCTGGCAAGGTCGGCTAGGAAAAGTACCTAACTCTAAGATATAAGTCGAAGTTATTAAAAAAGCAGCACAATGTTCCAATTTGCCCGACATCCGGAACTTGTGATTTTCGAAATTCATCAGAATCTTCCGGACACTATCCTATTGCTGTTGTTGTATGCTATTCCGAATACTGCAATATGCCCCGAAGCTGTTTATAAAACACGATGAAGATATAAATTTAACGGATTTCAATAAATGAATCCCCAAAAAGTTATTTGATCGGAAGTAGTCAGGAGGTCCTACAAGATTTCGTATGGTATGACGATGAACTGTTGGAGGAACATATTACTGATGATGGTGATACAATGGAAATGTCATTTTTGGTTCCTTATCGTGGCTTATGCAAAAAATATTTAGAAGAGGCCGAAAAGAGGACCATTCACAAAATAGGTACGAAAAGCAAAATGTTACAGTGTGTATTATTGAGTAATGTGAACCCAACTAATCTTTATAATCTTTTAACAGGTTCTAATCATACTCAATTATATTTAGAAAACTTTATAATCGCGATTATCCATGAATTTTCATTCCGGCTACAATGTACCATACTTCAACGATCAACTATTTTAAGAGTAGTTAGATTATGAGAAAATTACAAAGTATTTAAGAAAAAGTTATTGAACACATTTTAGGCATTCACACATCAGGCACCCATAGTTTAAAAACTTGTTATGAATCTTTCCGTTTTTTTTTCCTATTGAAAAGCAACATACTTAGATTGAACCATCACATTCAAAATTGATTGAATATGAAAAATGTATTTTAAATTTAAAAGGAATTGAATCATACTCACATTCTGCTCATTTGTATAATTCATATATGAATATAGTTGACGAATAAAAGGATGAAAAATAACCGTTCAATTCATCACTCCATTGGGTTTCTATAACATGATGATTTCGTTATCGATGATCAATTCGAACGTTCATCACTCACACAAATATCGACACTTACCCAGAAGGTACTGCTCGACATGGAATCGAACTGGCGCCAGGTGATGAGGCACCACGACGAGTCGACGAAGAAGACGAGCCGCCGTCTCGAGGGCCACGCGCGCATCCTCCTCGCCACGGCCGGCAAGGGCTTCGACTACACGCGCCGCTACGGACTGCTCATGTACTCGACGGCCTGCATGTACTTCGTCTCGCCCTTCCTGGGCATGCAGAAGGACGGCCTGCGCGCCCGCATGTATCCCTTCTTCGGCTGGTACTACTTCGACCGCGACTCGGACCTCTACTACGGCCTGTTCTACCTGTCGCAGGTCGTGATCGGCATCGTCGTCGGCACCTGCAACTACTCCATGGACAGCATATTCTTCGTGGCGATCTATCACTCCTGCGCCCAGTTTCGCATTATCCAGTACGACGTCGAGCGCATCGGGGCCGATGAGATGGAACTGGATCATGATCGTGCCACCACGAAGCGGAAGCTGCTACGGCTCATCGTCAAGCATCAGAAGGAAATTCGGTTGGTATCTATTATAGGATAAATCCATTTTCGAATTGGCCGTTCGAGTTCGAATTCCGTTTCGCAGGAGCGCCGAACGCCTCGAGACGATGTTCAACGCGGCGAGCATGCAGCAGTTGCTCGTCAGCTGCATCATCATCTGCGTCATCGGCTTCAAGCTCATAATAGTAAATTTTACATTTTTTACTCAACCGCACCTTCATTAATTTTTAATATCCTATACACGCAGGCGCTCAACGACGGTGGCTTCGAAGTTCTCGTCTACGTAGCCTTCATGGTAATCGCTCTCATGCAGATTTTCCTCTACTGTCGACCCGGCGACGAGCTCATTACTCAGGTGAGTCGATGCGGCCCACATTTTTGTACGCAGCCTTCGAGTTTCATCATGATTCGCTCGTGGCCGCAGAGTCTGGCAGTGGGCTACGCGGCATGGCAGTCCCAGTGGACGAATCTTGGCACCGAGTCCATCAGCAAACTCGCCACCATAATCCAACGGTCCCAGCGTCCCATGCGCATCGCGGCTGGGAACGTCTACGTTCTGTCATTGCCGAATTTCACGATGGTTTTAATGACATTTCTTTCATGCATCCATTTACTATCGCACAATGATGATATTTATATTGTTCAATTGCAGATCATCAAGACTTCGATGTCCTTTCTGTCACTTTTACGAGCCATTTATATAAAGAGCGATTAAAGCACGAGATTGACCGCAGCATAATAAATAGAATCAAATATCAAAAATACTTTATTTTCTTGATATCTTTTTAATAATCGTTGGTGTCCCTCAATTGTTTCTTTCGATCGTCATTTTGGAGCAATAACGCGTCACGTTCTAAAATCTCAATTCGCAAAATTCGGAGCAGGCAGGGAGCTTGAAAATCCACGAATGCACCGCAACGCAAACCGCTTACCGGCTTTTTCGCCCGGCTACGCTAAAAAACGGCAGTCTTGCTACATGCGACGCCAGCGTCACCTACTAAAAACAAACATGGCTCGATGCAAGCGACTGTATGGCGTATATACGCCGCGCGCGATATATGCTCGTCTCGCGCGAACTATTATACAAATGCTTTCTGCATTTTTAGCCAAGTGCCCGTGCCGACGTCTGGTTATGTATCAATTCGCGTAAAGTTTCCCTTTGGCCGTTGCGCGTTGTATCTCGTGGCCGACGCAGCGCAAAATAAAACAATCGTGTAACCAAGGCGCGCACCATGCTTGCAGTGTTATCCGGTGTCGAATGCGCCCCGACTGTGTTTGCGACTCTTCCAAGCGTGTTTTTGTTGTGATAACCTTACTCGTCATGTCTCATGATAAACACTAAACGATTCAACAGCTCGCAAATTTTTTTTCTCCCCCACACGACTCTGAGGTAATGTTTTTTTGCTATAGATTATCGATTATAATGATCCTTTCTCACTTTATGTAATTACAAGAATATTATTGTATTTTGCTAATTTCATCCGAACTGGATGTTCTGCTACTGTTTGTTTTTATGGACTCTATTATAATCAATCATCTCATTTTTTACCACTATTTTAAAGTATCCCCTTAACCTAGTCAAATGTTTTTGTTCCAGCTCCAAGCATCAATGATCTATAAGCATATGACTAACACTTGCAGAAGAAAAATAGTGTTGTTCTATTTTCAGACTGTAAATAATATTACATGCGACTGCTTGTCATGACTGAAGAAATCAAACGTACTAACACAATGGGAGTCGAAATGGCTACTCCATTGCATTTGCAGCGTCTGGAGCGTAGCTTAAATGTTCAACCATTTTTGAACCAAGTTCAAGGATTGTTTAATGAACAATTGAGGTAAATATTGTGCATCAATTCTTAAGCAATTTTAAATATTATTCTCTTAACTCGCTTCTTCGTCTTCTATTCATTTAATGCAAATGCTTACAGTGAAGATGAAGATTCATCTGAAGATGTGTCTGCGGAATCAGACTTGGAATTCAATGAACAATTGTCACAGAAAGAAGGTATGCATTTGACCCGAAATATTAATTATTATCACTACATTGATTGATACATTAATAAATTCTTTGCAGAGAAAAAAATGAGTAAATTGCGCTTATTCAACTTTACAAATGTTGGTGAAGATAGAGCATGGCTGCAAGATATTCTATTAAGCGATGATTCTGACAGCTCTGAAAATTCTGATTCTGATGCTTCAATCACAGAAGAAGACTTTCAAAATATGTTGCGATCTCATATAATGAAGAAAAAATATTTAGCCAAATTTTATCAAAATCCAGAGGTAAAATGATCAAACAAAGTTTAGAGTGAAAAGATATTTACAAAAAACTAAAATATTCATGTTGTAATTTCTAGAACATTCAATATCAATATTACGGATCAGGTTTATTATCAAATTATGATAGGTTTCCTGAACATCAGAAGCGCATTGTGGGTAATAAAAAGAAAAAAGAAAAGAAACCTGATAAAAAAGTAATTAAAATCAAAAAAGAAAAAACATCACATAAAATGTCAATGGATTCAAAAGTAAATACTTGCTTTTTAATGAAAATAAATTGATAATTACATTTTATTAAAAACAAATGAAAATCTGCAGGAAGCAGGTGTCCCTAATGATTCTTGGGATAGAAACACAATTCAAGATGAACAGGCAGATGAATCAGAATTGTACATTTCTATGAAACATCAAGGACGTGGACGTGGTAGAAAAAAACATAATGTAAAAAGTCCAGAAGTTATGGCAATGAGACGGAGAAAATTATGGGCTATGATGGCCAAAAAAGAACTTGGGAAAGTTCAAAGAGCTAAAACCAACAATCATAAAGAAATGCTCATTGGCTGTAAAAGGGTAGCCCAACACTGTATGAAATACTGGAGACAAAAAGCCATGCAGGTAAGATAAATATGAATATTTTATTTAGTGGAATCATTTAATTTATTTAATGTATTGAAATTATTTTTAGTCTCAGAAAAATATGAAAGAAACTGTTTGGAGAGCAAAACGGTTGACAAGAGAAATGCAGGCTTATTGGAAAAAATGTGATAGAGTTGAGAGAGAAACAAGAAAGAGGCTAGAAAAAGAAGCTGAAGAACAGAGAAAAATGGATGTTGAACTCATTGAAGCTAAGCGGCAACAGAGGAAATTGAATTTTTTAATAACTCAAACAGAACTTTATGCTCATTTCATGTCCAGAAAAATGGGTAAAGCATCCCCAGAAGAACAGTTAAGGATTTTGAATCAACTAGATGAGGAGAAAAATCCACGTCTAGCTAGTATTGATGATTATGATAGTGAATTGATGAAACAAAAAGCCAAGAAAAATGCAATGGATGCTTTTGATAACGAAAAAGCAAGAACTCGGCAGTTTGATCCAAATACAAATCAAGAACTCCGATTGAGTCATACACCAGAAACTTTGGAACATCCTCAACCTGCTATTTTTAAAGGTAATTTAAAAGGTTATCAATTGAAGGGTATGAATTGGCTTGCTAATTTGTATGATCAGGTTAGTACAAACTGTCTTTATTTAGTACTCATTCATCATACACATGATATTAATACTTTTTTCTATGCAAAGGGTATAAGTGGAATATTAGCTGATGAGATGGGTTTAGGTAAAACTGTGCAATCTATAGCATTTTTGTGTCATATTGCTGAGAGATACTGTAAGTTAATTATATTAAAAATAATGAATACTAATTTGAATACATTCAAGCACTATATATTTTTTATTTTTTAGCTGTATGGGGTCCATTTCTTATTATTTCTCCTGCTTCTACACTTCATAATTGGCAACAAGAAATGGCGCGATTCGTTCCAAGTTTTAAAGTAGTTCCTTATTGGGGCAATCCACAAGAAAGGAAAATCCTTCGTCAATTTTGGGACACAAAGGATTTGCACACCAAAGAGGCATCTTTTCATGTTGTTATTACAAGTTACCAGTTAGTGATAACTGATTACAAGTATTTCAATAGAATAAAGTGGCAATATATGATTCTTGATGAAGCTCAAGCTATAAAAAGTACAAATAGTATGAGATGGAAACTCTTGTTAGGGTTTAGCTGCCGAAATCGTTTGTTACTTAGCGGTACTCCAATTCAAAATAGCATGGCTGAATTGTGGGCGTTGCTTCATTTCATTATGCCAACGTTATTTGATTCTCACGATGAATTTAATGAATGGTTTTCGAAAGACATTGAAAGTCATGCTGAAAACAAAACAGGAATTGATGAAAGTAAGAGTTGGAATTAATACAGATTGTTAAAATTGTTGAAATTGCAATTACAAAATTATTTTTTATATTTTAGAACACTTGTCAAGATTACACATGATTTTAAAACCATTTATGTTAAGGAGAATTAAAAAAGATGTAGAAAATGAATTATCCGATAAGATTGAAGTAATGGTTTATTGTCCCCTTACATCAAGGCAAAAGCTTTTGTACAAAGGTACTTTTACCATATTTTTTATCATAAGTGATGAGTTGACTTAATCTTACAAATTTATTTAAAACCAATTTATGTTTTCAGCCCTCAAAAAGAAAATTAAAATTGAAGATTTACTTCATTACTCAGTTGGTGATAGCAATATAGCTAATGATAAAAATTTTACATCTAATTTAATGAATCTAGTCATGCAATTCAGAAAGGTAGAATATTTTTCCTACCATTATTTCATTATAAAGAAGTAGTTTATTAATAAGTGTACTAATTAATACACATTACTTTAAGGTCTGCAATCACCCAGAACTTTTTGAACGTAGAGATGCAAAATCACCATATTTTTGGCGAACAGAAGCATATGAAATGCCGGTTTTATTGTATAAAGAAGGCATCATAAGTTCAGCATTACCGTCCAAAGATCACTTATTGTACAATAAATTTTCTGTGTTTGCTACTGAGCATATTCATAAGACATTATTTAGTGATAAGTACGAAGGATCGAAAGATTCTTTTTTTTCATTTAGTAGATTTAGTAATATATCGCCCATGGAATTGAATAGAATTTTTGTAGCTGGAATACTGTTTAGGTAAGAGTAAGAATTTTGAAAGTATTTAGAAAACGGAACTTTTGTAAAATACTTAATCTAACTTTGCAGGATGCATCACGCCACAAAAATGACGAAAATTTTAAATAAGAAAAGTTATACCGAAGATTGGTCATTGGATCAGAGCTCCGTACCTTCCAATATTATGTGGCTATTATCGGAAAAATTGAATTTTTCATCAGACGTGGCCAGCGACTTATTGTTCACTGGAAAAATTCAGTACCGGGAACCTGTATATACTTACACTACTCATACAATACATTCGATGCCTGAAACGATGTCTCACAGAATTTTAAGAAGCAGCAGAGACGCCAATCAGTCATTAAGAATGCAAAAATCGATAAGTTCAGTGAAAATATTGCAGAACGAGGAATTAAAATTACAATTGCTTCCCGAACATCCGTACACATACAGAGCTCCCGTGGTGAGATCTTGTCAACCCACGATGATGCCAGCCTTTTTGTGCGATAAAATTCCCAAAGTCGTATCTAGCGCAAGGAAGTTGTACGTAAATCATAGTCCTGCGGCTCACTCATGGCGACAACACGAGGATTGCGGTGGCATCACTGGTAAAAGGGTGCTTTGGCTTGGTTCAGATTTGGCTGAAAATACCCCGATCAATCCTCGTGTACATTACACACGCATCTCTTCTTCTATGCATTTCACGTCAGACAGAATCGGTGGTTTGTCCGCTTGTAAACCTCAGAACGGCTGGTCAAACATCATCGTTCCAGGTAAGGCAATTTTTCTTGTTTATATCATTTTTATCTAATTGAATCTCGTGTACGAACAAAAATGTACTCTGGGTTTTATTTGAAAGTTTTGTGTGGTTAATTAACGATTCATCAGTAAAATAGTATTTAGTATTCGTAACTCAGGCCAAATACTTTCTCGTCGATTTGTTGTGTGAATTGTGATTATATCTATAATTAACAGGTTATGCTTCTGATTTTGAGTCCCGATAATGATCCAACCATTTCGTGTATCTTACGAAAAGTCATTAGCATTTTTACGATGTGAATATCAAAGAAATTCAGTTACAAAAAAAATTGAGAGAATTTGCTTAATTAAAAATAACAATAATTTTACCCACTCCGTGATTAAATTAATAAATTTTGAACGCGAGTTCACATAGAGCGACTGCAGGCGTTGTAAATAATTTACGACTCCAAGTGGTATAATAATTTTTGTCCGATTTTCCGTTGCAGATAAGCAAACGCTGGTGACGGATGCGGGCAAACTATCGGTACTGGACAATCTACTGAAACGCCTCAAGGAGCAAGGACATCGCGTTCTCATATACTCGCAAATGACGAAAATGATCGATTTACTCGAGGTTGGTATGCTGCACCACCGCTAAATCTCAAGTCTAGATGTTCAGCAATTTATTTATGCGCGTGTTTTTCCTCTGTCTCTATCTCTAGGAATATATGTACCATCGCAAGCACACCTTCATGAGGCTGGATGGCTCGTCGAAAATTTCTGACCGCCGCGATATGGTCGCTGACTTCCAGAAAAGGTAAATTGCAAATGGAATTCGACTCGCAGTGAAAAGCAAACTTCGTAGATCATTATCGCACGCGTACTTACGTTCTTCGTGTATGTTTCAGAGCGGATATATTTGTCTTTCTATTAAGCACAAGAGCCGGAGGTTTGGGGATCAACCTTACTGCTGCGGACACGGTAAGTGCTTTTGACCCTCTTTACGACCATATTCAGCAATGTCAGAAAAAAAAATTATAACATCAGCAACAACAGGAATAATAATAATAATCGAAAAAAATCTTCTGCTGTTTTTTAAAGGTAATATTCTACGACAGTGATTGGAATCCAACGGTCGACCAGCAAGCCATGGATCGAGCACATCGTCTTGGGCAGACCAAACAGGTCACAGTTTATCGTCTGATTTGCAAAGGAACCATCGAAGAACGCATTTTACAACGGGCTCGAGAAAAGAGCGAGGTAACGTATTTTTCTTTTAAAGTACCACTAGCCTCAATCGCCGATAATTTTTTTTTTCACGTCGTTCCCATGTTTCGAATAGATTCAACGAATGGTAATCAGTGGCGGTAATTTCAAGCCGGACACGCTGAAACCGAAAGAGGTGGTATCGCTGCTGCTCGACGATGCAGAAATCGAGGCTAAATGTAAGTTATTCTGCTTGATCTTCAATATTATTATATCGTTATTATCGTCAAGCACCGATTGGCAATTCGATACGATGGTTGACCCCCGCCGCCTGCAATACACACAGTGTCGTTTTTACTTCGCCATCGTTGTAGTCGTCGTCGTCGTCGAGGATATTTCGCGGAAACGAAATTGAAACCACACACGTACACGTATATGCAATATTTTCCTTCCCTTTCATTTAGGAACCTTCTGTCATCGTGGCTTTATATTGATATTTTTATTATTATCGACTCGGAGCGGTAACAATGACACCGTCTCCTTAGATTACCATCATAAATGTGAAAACAATCGCGTCTTATTTTCTCTGTACGGGGCACGTGCACCCGAGTCAATGTTCTTGCAACTGTCTCGAATACATTCATAAATCATAATTCATTCAGCGCAATAATATTTTGATTCAAAGAGACTTGGAGATGGAAACAAAAAATAAAGAAATACAGAGAAAAAAAATGTACGAATTGTCGTGGCAGTTGCACTCGCAGTAGCGAACTTCAATCACGCAGTCATTATTACAGTATATACGTATACAGGCGTTGGCCAAAAAGTGCCGCTACCGTAATACGCGCCTTATTGCATCGGTCTCGATGATAATAACGATTCTTGGCGCAGCACACCTACATATATAATATACGACGCATATATATACGCACATAAATGTATAGAAAGAGGAGGCACATCGTGCATAAGCTACACGTAATATTTGCTACTATACTTGCAGACAGTCAACGGAGCGAGGAGAGAAAGCAAGCGGCCGAGGAGGCCCGTCGCGCAGCCCAAGCAGAGGCAAAGGAGCGAGCTGCCGAGCGGAAGAGGAAGCTAACCGCGCTTCCGGTCAAGGTAAAGCAGTACAACGCACTCCCTCTTCTTCTCCTTCGTCTTCTTCTCTTTCGTCATCGTCGTCGTCGTCGTCTTTTCTATACGTGTCTTCATTCACACTCTCCAAGCACAAAAAAAAAGAGACCCCTTTTATTCTGCACGCAAATACTACATGCGTACACTCGCGTCTATGGCATATCAATCGCGACGTGCGAATGTACTTTTATTCATAATTTTAATATTTGAAATCGCAAATTGCAGGGCGACGTCAAGAAACCTCATCTGTTTCTAAGCGGCGAAGAAATCAATGACTCGCTCGACGCGTTCAATCATCAACAAAAGGAAACCGATGAATACAACACCTCCGTACAGAGTCCCAAAAGCGAGGTACAATGCGTCGCTGCTACGCTGCGCGATAATCAACGATCGGTCTCACCTGATCTTGATACATTTTCACAGGACGAGACGAGCAACGAAGGTTTGGTCGTCGACGTCGACGGCCCGTACTCCTCGGACTCGCTCAATCTGCAGCTGAACCAACAGAGGCCCTTCGGTAATCTAGGCAGTGGCGGTGGCGGCGGCGTTGGTAGCAGCAGCAACAGCAGCGGCACCAGCAACCCGTTGAGAATCCGCGAAACTGTTCGGGGCTCAACGAAGCGTGGCAGACCGAGGGGATCGAGACGAGGCGGCCCCGTCGGCGGTAAAGTTCGTAACAGTAACTTCCAAGTGCAGATGGTCCACGGTAGCGCCTCGGCGACGTCGACCAGCACTACCGCACACCATCACGGTAAGTCGTTATTATCGAGATTTTTGATGGCCGTTTAATTTTCCAAACGTCTATTATACTCTCGAGTTAATTTTGTTCTGTGGTGGCTCTCAGACTGACTTAATTAATCCTTTGAGTTGGATATTTTGGGGATTCGTGTACACCATAGACGAAATGAAAAATGAAATCACGTCAAATGTAAAAATGTTTCGATAAAGGAACTCGTACATTTAAGTACCACCCTGGTTTTTCTTTTCCCAGAAACGCGAATTCTTACGCGCGCTAAACGATCGGCATCGATATTCCGAAATCAAGTTTCATTAACTAAATTTCTCATTAGTTACTCTCTCTCTCTATCTATTCTTAGCTCCCTTTCTCCCTTGCACTGGAGCAAATGAAACAGAGACGAGTTGAATTAGAGCCGAATCCATACATTACGATTATGTATCGAGGAACGAAATCTCTCTTGGATAGCCATCGAAGTTAACTTTAATTATCTTTCCCGACGAATGGCCAACGATATTCAGCGCCTAATGGAAAATGTCCCGTAAGAGTTGAAACGTTGTCTGCGTGCATCGTCGCGCACTCTCGGTACAACAGATGCGGATATTATACGTATTGTCGTCGTACAGTAAAAAAGACAACAGCGATCTTGCACCTCGACGACACAATACGACAGTTGTGTATGTGTATACGTTGTATTATATATCTGTCGGGCAGCGAATTCCGCGGGGGCGTCCTCGATATTTATTATTCTCGAGTACTCGACTCGTCTCTCTCTCTTTTGAATTCCCTCGTCACCGATGCGAGTTGTCGGCGTGGGGGCTCGAAGTGTTACTTACGGACGCGCGCCTTTTTCATCGAGTTTTTCGGTATATTATATTTTATACAGGCAGGGGCGCACTTTCTCTCCCCCGACGCACTTGGACGATAAATACATGTGTACATGCGGCGGCGGCGTCGCTGCTGCGGTTAACCATTGTGCAGGTTGCACACTTGTGTATTCAGCCAATATAGATTATGCGTGAATGTGTGTGTCTGTGTGTATGTGTGTACGATGCGTCAATGTGTGTACAGATACGCGCGAGGGGGTGGATTGGTTTTTAATACAGAGAGAGAGAAGAAGAAGGTGAACACGTGCTCTCGATCGCGCCCAAACGAGGGGGGCCTGTATACGCATGTGTTTTTCTTTATACGCTCCTCGCGCTCTTTCTATATATATATACGTATACATTCGTTCGCTAATCGTTGTTTATTGTGCATATGACTCGATCGATAGACGCAGCACATACGAACACCCCGTCGACGTTATCCCCCTCGACTCCGCTCTACTAGCCCATTATCTGTATTTTTCCTTCGAAATCTATTTATTTTGGCCGTATCTGTTAATCGATCGTGTCCATTGGTCCAGCTGCTTGGTCCGTTTAACACCATCAATAATCTATGTGGCCCGGTCAATACGCATCGATACGCGGCGCACAACGAGATTACCCCGCTGACAGATTAATTTCTTCATTTATTTATACATTTATTTCTTCTTTTTCTTTTTCGGTCGAGAAAAATGGCCGACGCCGCGATCGCTATCGAACGTCATCGCTTGTCGGAGTCTCGAGCATCGATAGCCATCGCGCCGCGCGCCTTTACCTTCGCCAACGAAATAAATGTATATAGAGAAAAAAAAGGAGCTCGCGTAGATTTTTGGGTACAGTTTATCGAAGTGTGTACTACTACTACCTATAACATGTAGAAGCAGACCGTGAGCAGCAGCAGCAGCAGCGCATCGCATGAGGCAGCACGCAGAATAATAGCAGGTGCGCGGCCAAACGCGAGAGACAGCTGCCACAGATCGATTTGTTTCTCTTTCTCTCTCTCTCTCGTTCTTTTTAATACGATCGCGGTATACACACGGCCTGGCACCGTCGAGTTTTTCGGCGGTGGCCGTGCGGAGCGCAGTTGTTGTTCCTCCCGAACTCCATACATATATAATACATCGTTGTACATATATAAAATTTGAATCTTTTTATAGCAATTTCACTGCCGTGTTACGGCCTTCTCGTTCTCTCTTTTTTCGCGCGTGTTTTCTTCTCCATTTTTTTTTTTTTCATTCGGCTCTTTGCAGCGCGCGCCCCCGATAATACACGAAAAAAAGAGAGAGAAAAAGAGAAATACGTACGCACGCGCGGGGGAAGGCCACTGACACGAAAATTGCATTGCCCTCGAGGCTCGAAGCAGATAAAGCTCTTCTTCCGATAAGGCACGCGTGTTCCTAACGGCACGACGATGGTCGTCGTCGTCGCAGTCGTCCAAGTTGCTGCTCGCAATCGTGCTCTATACACGTTACTTTACTTCTTTTCGTTTCCTTCGCGATATCGCCAAGACGAAGAAGAAAAAGGAAAGAAAAAAAAGAAGTAAAAAGAAATCGCTCGAGTAATGCACAGCAGCGGAGTGAGAGAGAGAAAATAATGGATTTTTAGGTAGCTGGCACGAACGAGGCCGGAGTTCTTAGCCTGTAAAAAGGCTATTTCTCAGGCTGATTTATAAGTTCTCGTGCCTAGATGATGAAAATCTTTTCGGACGTTAATGTCAAGCTATACTATGTAAATCTGCAAAATTAAAAATACCTTTTATTCCTTGGCTTTTTTTTTGTACGCGCGTACGTGATTCCTTCGTTTATCCGCACGTACCGTCTTACATTATCTCCGCTGAAAAGGCTTGAGTCAATAATTTATGTTTTCAAGAACAGGCGTCTGTCGGAGTCCCTCAACTAGAAACGGATGTTAATGAATTTATTTCCCATCTTATTGAGGTTTTGTACCATAACTATTGACTGTGTGCTATCTGATTTTACAGCGACTTGAATCATTATGCTTTATCAAATTAAAAAAAAAACACGTGTTAACGTGTGGCAAAATATATGTTTTTATGTAAAAGTAGATAGTATTTTTCCTCAATTTTATTTCGATAAAAATAAAAAGTTTTTTTAGCAAGTTTGAATGAATTTAATTCATTTGTTCACAGCATCAGCCGAGGAGGCGTCTTCGAGCAGTTTTCAGGCGACGAACCAGCAGCTGCACCCAAGCCCCGGTCAAAGCAGCACCAGCGGCGGTGGTGGTGGCGGTGCCAACAATAGCAATGCCACCTTCAAAGTTTCCATGTCCAACATACGTCGCGGCCCAGGCAGACCGAGGCTTAGGCAGAACGGGCCGGGCCATCAGGGCTATCGGGCGGTCCCGCTAGCTGCTTCTTCGTCGCCGAACATCATCGTGCAACATCACAACTCTTCGTCGTCGTCGTCATCGTCGTTGCCGGGCCAAAAGAGATCGTCGACCGCCGCGGGTCTGTCCGCGCCGATTCGTCTGCAGCCCGCCAAACAGATCAATTCCGAGCACAGGTCGTTTGATTTTTATGCTCAACAGCAGCAGCAGCAGCAACAACAACAGCAGCAGCAGCAGCAACAGCAGGTGAAACAACAGACGAACAGCAGCGCTGCTGGTGGATCTGGTAATAGCTAAAAATAAAAGGAGCTAAAAGTATCAATCGCCTATAGACGCCAAAGTACCACCCTGATTCGGCAATTTCCTTAGAGTAAGACAAAAGTTTTATTTTTACGTCAGTATCCTAAATACAGTCTGTATATATTGATTATTTTGTATGTACATTGATATATATTTATTATACGATACTACGATTGCGACGATTACAAAAATGATGTAATATTACGATTTTGAATACTTTTAAAAAAGGTGCAGGACGTTTGAAGCTACCTTTTTTCCAATTTTTATTTAATAAAATGAGAGTTACTACATTGTACAGGAAAGAATTGACGTTTCTTCCGTTTAGCTTTTAAAAGTTCAGCAGCTCTCGTTATAAGCAGCGATTACTTGTTATTTTAAGTAGGCAACACACACTTGCCAATACAATATAGATCCAAATCTCGGTTGAAAAAAAAAGATAACCGACGCGTTCGATCTATTAACGATTAAAAATGCAAAACACCATTGCAGAATAAATGAAAACAAAAAAGAAAAACGTGTACATTGTTTAAATGTGTATTGAATAAAGAAAGTTTGATAGACGCACTCGAGCTCTGTACAGTATACTCGATTCATAATCCAACTCCCCGAAGTAAGTGACTATCAATCTCTTTTTAATAGCGCTCCAATGAAGCTCTCGGGGCTCTGCGGCATTCATTTTACTTTTTTTTTGTTCGTCCGATGCGTCTCTACGGGCATGGAAATCTGTCGCGCGTTGCGAACAAGAAGCTCTCTCCCTTCGAGACACACAGTAGCAGTATCGAAGCAGCAGCAGCAGCAGCCGCACCAGACAGACAGTCGGTTGAAAAGATGTGCGCTTCACGGTGCACAAAGCGGACTACACACGACGGACGGAGAAAACAGCGCGAGCGTGATTCGGAATGTAATACGGCGCGCCGTGTAGGTATACATACTGTATGTGTGCGTATTATGCGCGAGCTCACTCTCTCTGAAGAAAAAGGAGCCCGGGGAGTTGTCAGCTCTCTCTCTTTTCATTATGACAGTCCCGAATAGGCGCAAATTTACGTCCTTCATAATGCGCTTGCGATGTATTATTGTTGCAGCTGCAGCACCACACACTGTGGCAGGGAGAGCGATACGTTACTTGTACTCGGGACATCATCTTGCCTATGCTGCTGCAGGAAAGATGATGCATGATTTTTCACGAGCACCATCATCGTTCAAGGTGTGACGATGAATTCGAGGTGTGCGCGACTCTCATCAATAACAATCGACTTAATTAACAGATGCGATTACAAGTGTAAAGCCAAACATCGATGCCGAGAATCAAAGCTGTGCGCGTAACGAGGTGGGCGTGAAAATCCAATCGATCCAATTGGATTCGAACGAGAGCCGAGAACAGCCGTAGCGCGTTAATTAGTGCACATTGCGAGGGCCGATAATCGCGTCAATTATGACCGTGACGCGGCGAGAAAGAGAAAAAAAAAGTAAAGAAGAAAAGTGTCAAGCTCGGCCAGTTGTTTTTCCTTGTAATAGGTGAGGCGTGAAGCCGATGTACTTACGGTAGCCGAGCCGAGCTCGATTTACACGTAATGCAGCTCATTGCTCGGAATCGAGTAAAAAATGTCGATGTAATAATAGGTTGATTGGAGTCGGTGACATGGTAAATAGCCATATATCGGATAGGTATGCAGCGTAGGATAAGTATCCAGCGGGGTGTAGAGGTGGCTGCTGCTGCTGTTCAGAAATCGAGAGATGGTGTCAGCCGGGCAACGCGTCGCACCGATCGTCGTCCAGCTGATGTACAAAAGCCCATGTATATGGTATACGTATAGAGCTAAGTTGCGCGTGCCTTCGAGTCGCTCGAATTACGCGAATTTCGATCTCGCGCGCGCTCCTAAGTCTCTTATACTAGCACAAGGCCTAAGAATGCTACTCACTTGCAACTCGTATGCGTGTAAACGCGCACCTATGCAGGCGGTGGTGGCGTATGGGCACTGCACACAGGTGCAGCTCTCTCTCTCTCTCTCGCGCTCACTTATAAAGCATATTTAAGCCCTCAATCAGGCGCAAGTAGGTTAAAATCGCAGATGGGCAAATTCAGCCCTTTCTACCGTGCCGTATAGTATATCGCTGCATATATGTTATACACGTGTAAAAAAGAATGCGCGCGGAGGGAGATTTTGGCGCGTGGGCGCTGCTACTTTATAAACGTGTATCGCATGTGTATGAGGTATAGAGAGAGAGAGAGAGATACGGCACGCATGGCACGGCTCGTGCGCGCCAAAAGAGCAAAAAAAAAGTTTATAATCAACAGGTGAAGTCTTTTTCTCTCCCTTTGCGCGCCTGTGACTCGCGAGTCAGCTGCGTATTACAACCAAGTGTATATGGGTATAGCTAGAGGTGTGTGCACACGCACGCACATTAAAGAACGTGGAATTTTTTGTGCGCGATTCGCTGCTCCTTCTCCCTCGACTCGACTCCGAAGCTCGATCGTCGATTTGCGCCTTTGTGCTCTCTTTCTCTGACTTACAATTGCGTAGGTATATAGGTGCGTATATATACTACTCCTGCACTCGAGGCCAAGCTGTCGCGGATGAAGGTGCCAATGCTGATTGCAGCGCAAAAGCACAACGACGAGGGAGGCGGCGAGTAATTACGCGGAATCGACGCGGTGCGGAGGCGGCGCTGGCCAGGACGAAGGATAAGAAGGTATGGTAGAAGAATCGTGTGCTTGCTGCAACGAGCGATCCGTTCGGTGAGCCCAAGCGAGCCGTAACCGAGGAGAACGAACGAGCTGTAGCTGCATATAGTGCACGCAGGGGGAGGAAGTCGTCGTCAAGGAAATTTCGATCTCTTTCCATGCGCGTTCAAAGAGGAGAGCCTCGAGAGAGAGAGAGAGAAACAATGTCTATAAAACGGCAGCGAAACGCTGCAAGGAGCTCTGCCGTTGCTGCAAGCAGAGCAGCAGCAGCTCGTTTGCCCGCGCCCGTTACTAATTCGATTTGCAGCAGCAGCTTTTTTTTTTTAAGTAAAGCGCCACGCACGCGTTCGATCGCTGTGGCACGAGAATTTTTCAAGCATCCGTATATGCGTGTGTAACCCCTTCAACTCCGAAAGTAAACTTGGTTTGATATATTATTTCGCTCGGCTTCGAGTGAAAAATGCCTTTCACCAATACACTTGAAAAAAAAAGTATTCGAGCCAGCACAACCATGTGGCGCTTGCTGCTTTTCTCGGATGCCAAGTGTTCTATAAAGTCTACTATTATTATATATAGGAGCAGTTGAAACGCTCGATTCTTCGCCTCGCGCACACACACAATGATTTATCGAGTTAAAGCAATAAAATACAATTTTTGTTAACCACATCGATCCTCTTTTTTTGCTCGAGGTAATTCAAGTTACTCTCTCGTTATTTGGGACGCATTGCGAGGCAGAAAATTGGAGAAGCCAAATGTACGGTACAATAACTCGGGCCGAAAGTGAATATTTTGGATATTTTTTAACGAAACCGCTCGTTGAATTAGTTTCCGCGCGAGCACGAGCGATTTCGAAGAAAGCCAGTAATAGATCCTCCCGCGCTCCCGAGTTCACACACAAGTGCCACTTTAATTGATAATTCGAGCCTCGCTCGGGCCTTAAACGACGTAAATACTTCCACATATACAAAGTCGGTGCAGGCGATTCGAGATATTATATACTCGAGCGATGCCGGGAATCGCTATCGCGCAAGTTGGTGGATTCGTTAGAAAAAAAAGGCGAGCATTGTATCGTCGAGAAGAAGAAGAAGAAGAGGCTCCGATTCGGTCGTGGGCTCACGCGGTTGTCGTCAGTCAACGGCTCGCAACGATTTTGTCGTAATATACGGAGTCTCCGCAGACGCTGAAATATACACATACAACAATGGGCTGGAGAAAATTCAATACTCGTGGTTACGATTCGGTTCGTTCTCTGGCAGTAGTTTTATACTACATCGTGTGCGAGTGTGTGTGTATGTGCCGTGGCGGCGGCCACGCCCTTCGCGTTACGGGTCAGCAGCAGCAGCAACAGCAGCGCGAGCCGATGTGTCAGAGACTCTACTGTGGCAGTAACCTGGATCGTTGCCAAAAATAGCTGCATACTATACACGACCACGGCTTGGCCGCGATAAACGACGCGCACCCGATTATATATTATACATACTCCTTTTTTTTCTTCTTCTTTTTTCTTGCCGAGGGCCAAAGGACGCGGAAAACGCGGATGCGCCAGTTGGGCCGCGATCGACTGTAGTATAGCCGCCTACTAGCCGATACTCGAGAATGGGATAATTCGGAATCGTCCTACCGATGGCCGATTTTTGCCAGTCGGTAGGTCAGTCGCAGTTTTGGCTTGCAGCCAATTGCTGCTGCGGGGGAATAATATATTTCACTTATGTTGCTGCTGCAGTCGAGCCGGCGCAGCATATATATATATGGAGGTAGATAGCTCGGGGAGATTTTTCGTCGCGCGCCAAGAGGCTCGTGTGCGTATATAAAGTCTTGGGCGCTGGGGGGGCCGCCGGCATCGTCGTCGTCGTCGTCCTCGCGTATAATAATGCGTATATACGTGGAGCAGCTCTATATACACGGGCCCTTAGCCTGGCAGCTCGAGCAGAGCCTAGCCTCGCGCGCGTCGGGGCCAGCGAGCGTGCTTCCGCCTGCCTATACCTTACTACTACTATATAAGCTCGACAACGGTGGAGGCGCACTCCTTGACCGGAAGCTCGGCAAGATCCCCGGCACGCCACCAACAACTATATACCTTATACTACTACTACTGCTACTGCTGCTGCAGTACGTATAGAGGAGCTGCGTCGTCGTTACGCTCGCTCAGGCGCGTCCGCAGCAACGGCTATCGCGTGCGTGTACGTCGTACCCTACCTATCTTCTCTCTCTCTGGCTACTACAATGCTACACTACACCTTTCCTTTTCCTAACTTTCTCAACTTGAACAAGAAGAAGAACAACAACAGCAACAACGGGAAGGCAGAATAAAACGAATAAGAAGAAGCAACAACAACGACGAGAATATTTTTTTCAATTCATCTGTCGGATATAACGCACACGCATTCATTCGCGGTATATTATAATATAAATGAAGTATAAAAAGGAATGAAGAAGAAAAAAACCCTTTTGTCACCTAGAGGCGCGCAGCACATCCTCGCCAGTAGCAGCACCCTGTGCAGTTAGCAGCAGCTTGGACACACAATAGTGACAAAAATATCATATACGTATCCGACTTTCGAGAGGCGCGAGGACAAACGCCGCATTCAAGAGACTCGAGTGAAACGACTATTTGCCTCTGACCCAGTGCCTTTTTTTATACCTACACATTTCACTTCTGCACAAGAGTGTCGGGGGCCTCGTGCGCGAAATGAAAACGAAATGAAACGAAACCGTATATAATATGCGGCATATGCGCGAGCTGCAGCACTGACACATACCTTGCGCAGCGTCGTCTCATTGTCAGCGTCTCACGCGAGCAACTCTACATATATACACGAGAGCTCCTGTGGCATGGCATGAGGCACATATAGTGTGCGTACAGATATTTAATGATTTAATTGTGGATACGCGACGACCGTAGGTATACATGCCGTATATACCATGCCGGAATTGGGTCGACAGCAGCAGCTCTTGGCGACGTGCCGCGGGCCAAGAAAAAAAAACCGACCGACAAGAAGAAGAAGAAGAAGCAAAAACGCCCGTACTACTACTACTACTACTACTACGTACGCTTATAATGCAGCCCAGGAGAATTCGGCCGAGTAGTACATCCTCTCTCTCGTACGTACTGTTGGATGTATATGTGTGTATTCGCGTTCGCCATGCGCCAGAATCGCTCCCTGAAGCTACTATATACTTACATACACGCTCCAGCTTTTTTTTTACGCGCAAAATATTATATATACCTCGAATACTCTTCGCGGCGGCGATTCTCGGGTAGCTTTCAGCGATTTTCCCTCGCTTATATAGCTGCAGTATTCGCTTTCTCTCCTGTATATATACCAAGACGTACAGGAGGCATCGAGTGAGAGAGAGAGACGAGCGAGGACAATGCCAATTCAGCCGAGTCGTCTTATAAATGTGCCACAGACGAGCGCACACACGTATGTGTAAGAGAAAAGAAGTAGTATATATATGGGGATTCAAGCCCGGGCCAGAACCCCCTGGGGATTCAAGCCCGGGCCAGAGTCCCCATATACTTTGGCGCGAGGTTTCGGTGCGGCTGCACGCGGTTTCGGTGCGGCTGCACGCATGCGCACGCGTGTATACTTAGGCATGTACGCGTGTGCGTGTACGCTTAGATATACATGTATATTCAAGCGTATATGCGTGAGGCATATACGCGTGTACAGTCGAGCCTATATACGCGTGTGCGTGTACGCTTAGATATACATGTATATTCAAGCACATATGCGTGAGGCATATACGTACATGCGTGTACATGCACGCATATACGTATGCGTGTACATGTATGCGTGTACATGCACGCATATACGTATGCGTGTACATGCAAGCATGTATACGAGTATGCGTGTACGCTTATATGCGTGAGGCATATAGGTGCATGCGTGTACATGCAAGCATATACGTATGCGTGTACATGCAAGTATGTATACGAGTATGCGTGTACGCTTATATGCGTGAGGCATATACGCGTATGCGTGTACATTCAGGCACGTACGTCTGTGTTCATGAGACATATACGCATGTATACTTAGACGTATACGTGCGTGTTCGTGAGGTATATACTTGTGTGCGTACACATTTAGGTAGATATGCGTTCTAGCATATACGTGTGTGTGCGCACATGCAGACTTATAGTACGCGTATACATATATGCCGGTATACTTTCAAGCAGGCGTTCGCTATGCGTTTGAACGCAAGCTTACATTTTTGATCGATAATTGTAATTTAAGGCATTAGGACCCTCATAACAACAATTTGTCCGATTGCACATGCAAAATGTTTTTATTACGTTCGCATCTAGATTTTTCGATGCGTACACAAAGAGTTGCCGATACGAGATGGAATTTCCAAGCACATAAAATTCTTCTAAGAAAATTTTTATCCTATACGACTAAACGTTAATCATTATTATGATTCGCAAGTGCAGACTTGTAAGCTTGATCGTATTACACATTAGCTAGCGCTAACTCGATACCGATGTCACGGGCCATTTAAATTTATTTTCGCGCGTATACTCGCAAGCACTTGAACTCGCACGTTCGATTCGGATCCTTTTTGTTGTGTCTTTGTTTATAATATCTTACCATGGGAGAGTCGAAATTTCTAGCACGAGTAAGTAATAAAATTTTTTCGATATATAAGGCCTCTATGGTCAGTCAAAAGTTAGTCATTTTCGAGCCTTCGAAGGGAGCGATCCGTCTGCGCGAATAGTACAAAATGAGTGAATATCAATTATTCAATCTTTTGCGAGAGTGGCGCGAATTTGTTAATGAAAAGTGGGAGTTAAGTGAAACAGTGAAGTCTTTGAAAGAAGAAGAGTGCGAGCGTCATGTGCGCTATCTGAAGGAAGTGCGTCGTCGTCAAGCTGCTGCGAAGCAGCTAGAGAAAGAGCGTCGTCGAGCTGCTGCGAAGCAGCTAGAGGAACAACGCCGTCAAGCTGCTGCGAAGCAGCTAGAGGAACATCGACGACTGATTAGCGAAAAACGGAAGCGTCGACGACGCATCCACGTACAACCACGGAGCGACTTGAAAAGGCGATTAGCCGAGTCGATTCGTCAGCTGATTCCACTTACTCGGCGGAGATCGAGGCGGCCTGCTCCAGTACAGTGGAGTATAGAAGAATCTCCTCCATCAACAATAACGATCACAGAAGTAAGTTTAATAAATAATTTGTTTAAATTTGAAAATATTTCGATTTAATCGAATATAAAATTATTTTTTTAGCCTGTAAGCGATTCGTTACCGATACTGCCCGAATGGTCTGTAAATACAAAACCGACATTATCAACAACAACAACAACAACAACAACAGCAGAGCCACGTAAAATCGGTCCAAAACCTTTGACGTGGGAGGAATTCGTACGACTAGCAAAGATGCCACCTCCACCACCTCCTCCGGTACGATAAATATTTATTGAATATTCATTTTTCATAAATAATTATTATAAATTTTCAATATTTTTCAGGAAGATCAACCATGGATTAGGAAGCCAACTCGACCTAGGCCGATGAATAAATCAAGAATACTCAATTTATATGTTTAAATTAATTTTATTGTAAAAATACTTATGTGATATTATTTTATAAACAATTTTTTATTATAAATTTTGATACTATTGTAAATTTATAAATTTTAACAATATAATTATTCAAAAAGAATTGTATTTGCTTGTTAAACTTTGACAATACAATTATTTAAATAAGAATTATATTTTTCTCATGTAAAAAATTATTTCCTTAGTGATGATTATAAACTAACACGGTGATTATACAACAAATTCGAAAAAAGTATCGTGTAAATATTTTAAACATAGCTCCAACTTTTGCGCTTTATTCGACAAATAATTGAAATATTCATCATCTTTTCCGAGAACTTCACAGACTCGAGAAGGTAAAAAGATTTCAAAATCGCTGTTGAGTTCGATAACAAATTTCATGCCGAATCTCGTATTAACTTTTCTTATCCTTGTCACTTGATAAATGTTGTTTTTCTCCAAATCCGTCCATGTTTTTCTGGGTAGAAACGATGATCGGCAGACGTTGTTTAAACTTGATAGATTCATTCTAGCGAACAAAAAAGATATTTTACTAAAAATTTATAATTTTTTTTAATTATTAAAATAAATAAATAAACTTACTTTTCTCTTGATCGAGCTCTGAGGACCGATGCTTTAAAAGCCACGCCTTTATAGCTTTTACGTTGTCGGCAGCGCACACGGCTTCTCGCTTGCAAGTGTGAAGCTTGCACGGATGAGATTTGTACCTTCGAAGTTTTTTGAGAGACGGACAGCCTAAATTTTCAATATTTTCTATGAACCTTAACAGAAAAAATTTATGTATATAAGTAATGCTGTTGTTAATACTATTGTCAATTTAAAGTAGAGTTATATTCTTACCGATTGCTCAGTATTTCTTGCAACCAGCTTTGCTTTTCAGCTCCTTTAACGTAAATATTTTTAGCGTTGAAAAAAAGAACGACCAATGTTTCTTCCAATTTGTTATATGGTATATCACCTCCGCTCCAAGGTAGTCCGTGATAATTCTTAGATAGCCAATTATTGCAACTTTTATGTTCGTCCAATAAGTCGTGCCAGCAGAAAGGAGCCTCAAAATGAAATACCAACGGAACAGAGTCTGGCTCTACAGCAATGACCGATATTTCTTTAAAGACAAAACGATTCATAGATCGCTTAAAGCCCTGAATATCTACGATATAGTCCGTCATACTTACGATGTGATTTGCACCGAGCTACGACTGAGAATGATTTGATCAAGATCTCGAGCTCGCTTTTATAGATTGGCGGAGAAATCTAGAATATTCTTCGTCCCTCCTCAGCTCTTGTTCCCACTTTTGCAGGGTTTAACCCCTTCTATGACAAAGTCCAACTCCCACTCGTAGTTTTTCTCCTACCACGTCCTTAGAAAGAACTAGAAGAATTTTTGAAGCTTTATAAGAGAAGTCGCAGTCAAAAAAGTCACATTCATCTACGAGTCTACAACTCATTCGGAAATCCTCGACGACGTCGATCCTCTAGTTATGGAGCAGTATAGAATCTTTGTACGTGGGTACAAATATTTGTACAGGTCCCTACAGTCGGTAGAGGCCTCCTCCGAGGACTATCACAGATGGCTAGAGATGGCTTCTACGGCGATAGAATCTTTGGAGAGAATGCTCAACAGTTCCAACATCACCAGGGCTGAAAAACAAAGCTACTCCGCATCGTTGGGTCACTTCATTTCAATTCAACTACGACTTTTGAATCTTCTAGAACGAAGAGGAGGCGAAATTCATCAACTGGACCAGGATCAAGCCGCTCCACCAGGTCAAGCTGCTCGAGTAAGCTGGAGAGATGTGCAGGCTGCTTTCGAAAATCGTATTCGGACTGGAGTTATAACAAATCTGGGGCGCATGGACATCCATGAATTCTTGAAGGAAGTACAGCCGCTGTTCGAATCAAAGATCGAAGAGGCTCTCAGAGCACATCCATCTGTGAAGGTCAACGTAGTTTTGTACGCACAGTTCTCAACGATTCAGATGGACTTGGACGTCAAACACTTTACCACCGAGAATAAAAGTATTTATCGATCTACCGATATATCCGAGGTGTATCAACATTTTAAAAATACCTTGTGTCAAGATGTAGAAGAAGCCGAAGGTCAGGGATCTGGTTGGAGTCTAATTTCTATCTTGAGTTTACAGGTGAACATTAACAAGTTGAATCCGATGCATGCGAATACATTTATTCCCCTACCAACCCCCATATACAACAAACATGCATGTGTTAATGTGAAGAATAATGATGACCAATGCTTTAAATGGTCTGTACTAGCAGCTTTACACGAGATTAAAAAAAACGCGAGTGAGCTCTCTCACTATCTACCCTATCAAAATGATCTGAATTTCGATGGTATAACCTTTCCCGTTCGTATAAAAGATGTATCAAAATTTGAAAAACAAAACGAAGTTTCAATAAACGTGTATCATTTGATAAAAAGATCGCAAGAGTATAAAGTAGCTCCGGTTCACTTGACTTCTTTGAGAAAAGAGAAACACGCCAATTTGCTAATTATTCAAGATGTTTATATTGACGAAGAATGCGATGATTTAGAAGTAACGGGTGAGCCAAAATATCACTATGTATTAATAAGGGATTTGTCAAGATTAATAAGATCTCAGTTGTCGAATCATAGATGTAAATGTTTCGTTTGTGAACGATGCTTGCATTATTTTTGGCAAGAGGAAAAATTAAAAGCACACTTACGAGATTGCAGTTCATTGAATCAATGTAGAATTGAACTTCCAACCGTGCAAAATTCCAAGTTGCGCTTTAAAAATTATTATCGTAAAGAACGTGTTCCAGTAGTTGTGTATGCCGATTTTGAGTGTCTCCTGCGAGAGCCAATCAAAGAGCACGATCGAGTTATTCAAACGCATCAGGCATTCAGTGTTGGGTTCTACGTAAAGTATAGTTTCGACGATTCACTGTCCGAGTATAAATGCTACAGACAGACTTCTGCCGACGATCTCAAGACCCCTTCCCAATGGTTCATTGAACAACTGAAAGAAATTGCCGTGAGCATGGATGCTCGATTCAGCAATGCCAAACCGATGAAACTTACGCGAGAAGATTGGTTAAAGTATGAATTACAAGAGACGTGTCACATATGTGGTCGTCCATTTTCCGCGGATGATCCTAAAGTACGAGATCATTGTCATCTATCCGGAGTGTAAGTATGCATTCGCTTGTATCACACTTGTATCAATGATTTTATTTTCATCGAATTTTTCATTTTTTCAGTTTTAGAGGAGCAGCTCATCAAAGCTGCAATTTGAATTACAAAAATGCAAAGTATATACCAGTGGTCTTCCACAACCTGACGGGATATGATTCACACCTGTTTATCAAGGATCTTGCTACCTCGGAGGTTATGAAAGGACACGTGAAGCTCATACCCTTGAACAAGCAGAAATATATATCGTTCATCAAACACGTCGACGATACCAAAAACAACGTACACTTTCGTTTCATCGACTCGTTTAGATTTATGCCCTCTTCGCTGGACAAACTCGCTTCGTATTTGGATACTCACCCGATCGTCGACAAAGAATTTTCTGCTTATACGAGCGAGCAGATCAAGCTGTTGAAGAGAAAAGGTGTTTATCCCTACGACTATACTCGCTCTTTTGAAAGTTTGCGCGAGCAGCAATTGCCATCGATCGAAAGATTTTATAGCATCATGTCCGAGCAAACGATCTCGGAAGAAGACTATCAACACGCTCAAGATGTGTGGAATTCATTTCATATAAAAACGCTCGGTGAGTACTCGGATTTGTATCTCAAGACTGATGTTCTCTTACTCGCAGATGTGTTTGAAAACTTTCGCAACATGTGCATTGAATCCTACGAGCTCGATTCGGCTCATTACTTCACCACTCCAGGATACGCTTGGGATGCTTGTTTAAAATTAACAAATGTCACTCTCGCACTTATCACAGACATCGACGTGCTACTCTTCATTGAGAGAGCAATTAGGGGTGGTATTTCTCAGTGCTCAAACAGGTACGCCGAGGCCAACCACAAGTACATGAGCTCCTACGATGCAAGCAAGGAGGAAAAGTATCTCATGTACTACGACGTCAACAATCTATACGGATATGCAATGATGCAGTCTCTACCTTACGGTGGTTTTCAATGGGTCGAGAGCAGCACTATCGAAAAAAATCCAAAATTTTGGGATGTATCCCCAGAGTCGGAGAAGGGCTATTTTCTCGAAGTAGACTTGGAGTATCCGAGGACACTTCACGACGATCATAAAGATCTACCCTTTTGCGCTGAAAAGATGGTTCCACCTGGCTCTAAGACGTCAAAATTGTTGACAACGCTGTACAATAAACAAAGGTACGTATTACACTATCTCACTTTGAAGCAAGTTACTGAGCAGGGGTTGAGGGTTACCAAGATTCATCGAGCCTTGGAATTTTTGCAAAAACCCTGGATGAAACCGTACATCGACTTTAATAGCGCCAAGAGGCAAGCAGCCACGAATTCCTTCGAGATAATGTACTGGAAGCTTATGAATAACAGCGCATACGGCAAAACTATGGAAAGTGAGCGTAAAAGGGTTTCAGTCAAGCTCGTCAATCATTGGGATGGTAGATTCGGCGCTGAAGCATACATTTCAAGACCCGACTTTAAAAATTGTACAATTTTCGATGAAGACTTGGTAGCTATTCAATTGAATCACACCAACATAACGATAAG